TACTTTGTCCTTGCGTCCGTCCATCTATCATTGCTCCTGCCTCTCCGCCTCCTCCTCCCTCTCCCTCCTCTCCTCCCTCTCCCTCCTCTCCTCCCTCTCCCTCTCCTCCCTCTCCTCCTCCTCCCTCTCCTCCTCTCCCTCTCCTCCTCCTCCTCCCTCTCCTCCTCTCCCTCTCCGCCTCATCCTACAAATTCTTGGCAGTCTCTCGCCGCCTTCGGCCTCGCCCCCATCTCCCTCTCTCAGCTCATCCTGGCGTCTCAGATCAACTGGCGTTGGGGCATGTCGATAGCAGTGAGCGCCTTTACCCTGCCGTTGACGCCGCATGTCAAACTCTTGACGCGCAGGTCATCGGAGCAGCCGAGGGAATACTTTGTCTTGCTCAGAGCTACTTCCCAAGGATGAGGATGAGGATGAATCGATCGGTCAAAGTTCTCTCGAGGTTCTTCTCTTTCTTGTTTGGTCTTCCTCCACCACCTGCCTCAGTTGCCCTTTCCACTTCATCCTCCTCCTTCTTTACTTCCCCCTTCTCCTCCTCTACTTTCTCCATTTCCCCACTCTTCTCGTCTCTCTCCTCCTCCTCCTCCTCCTCCTCTTTCCCTGTTCTCTGTCCTTCACAAGACTTTTTCGCCAGGACTGTGAAGCTTCAAAACGTCCTTGTCCTTACAGCGAACGTTCTGTTCTGGTACATGCTGATGACAGTTATCATACAGCTGATCCCTCAGGTCGAGCACTGCAGACTTGACTTGTTCTTGTTGAGAGCGTTTCTAGATGAGGAGATCATCGTTCGTCGACTTCAACTCCGTCGGCTTCCCAGCATCTTGTCCACCAGACTCGATCAACTGCGTTCGACTCGGTTCTTCACTTGACTTATGCTGGGGAGTCATGCGTGTAACATGGCGACGTTTGCAGGGAACAACACAGACACTTACAGGGCAGGCTCGCTTAGGAGTCCGAAGGTCCCAGGAGGGTTGAAGGAGGTGCGAAAATGGTCACTTGTCTTGTGGATTGATTCATGACATGATGATGATGTTGTTGTTAGAATGGTTGTTGAAAGTGTTGCTGTCTGCTGTTACTTTTGCATGCGAGACTTTGATCATTCTTGTTCGAGTCATCAGGTTTTTGATGATGATGACAATGAAATGTTGAAGGAGATTATGATGATGAGAACGATGATGAGAACGATGATGAGAACGATGTCTTGATCGACAGAGAGCTGTGGAGTAAAAGTAACGAGCAGTTGTCCAGGTTCAGCAAGGGATCACAGATTGGATCAATAGCCATGGCGGGACTGTAACCTTCAGGGACGAGCACTTGATCCGAGCAAGGTGACCAAAATGAAAACTCTGGTGGTGGTGATGGGGATGGAAATGGGGATGATAATGCTGACGACGACGATGACGACGACGAATTGATGATGATGATGATGATGATGATGATAATGATGATGAGTAGGTGGTCTGAGGTGGAGGAGTTGGCAGACGAGATGAGATTTCTGGACGATGAAGATGTTGATTTTACAGGTTCGTCACTCTCCTCATGGGATACCTCGACGACTTTGCAACCTACTCATTCTGCGACAAGGACGGCAACGTGAATGTGAACATGCAGAGTCAAGTCGTCCCTTCTTCCACCCATGTCATAATCTGACGATGACGACAACAGTCAAGGATAGGAAAGAGCGACCTCAACAAGAACTATGAAAGGATTTCAGATCTGGTTCAGGTGGATATTTGCGATGGCGGAAGAACCTTGCTGATTTCTCATTCTCAGACACTGATAGAGACATGTTCGAGCAAGAAAGAGAAATTCCCCTGTGGGAAGTCTTGTTGAATTTCTACGAGTTGTCAAAACAACACGTTGTAGAAGGATTTGAAAGAGAAAAGAACAAGAAACAAGACAGGGTCGTCTTGTGTGTGTAAAGAATAATTGTCTGCTGTTGCAACTTGGTTGAGTTTCCTCATTTCGCAGTCACTGACCTGGTGGAAAAGTGAGAAGACGGAGGAAAAGGAGGAGATGAAGTGTGTGGAAGCAGAGAGGAGAGATGTAAGGGAGGGAGGGGAAGCGACGACCGATCAGGGGGAAAGACAAGAAAGGAGGAGAAACCAAGTTGAGAGTGGGGAGTGAGGGTAAACGCAAGAAAGCATGCAGAGGGAGAAAAATTAAGAAAGGAGGGAGGAAACAGGAAGAGAGAGGGAGAGCGAGAGAAGGTTGGAAGAGAGAAGAGAAGAGCAAGAGAGGAGGAGAAGGGAAGCAAGAGAAGAGTTCGAGCGAAGGGGAGTCACTGACCGGAGGGAGGAGTAGGAGTATTTTCTCTATCCTCTAGCTTGTCACTCCCCTCCTCAGTACTTTGCGATTCCCTTCTCCTCTTCTGGGGCCCCTGGTCAGTCAACCACCCCCTCCATCTCCCGTTGCTACTTAGTGAAACAACCCCTCTGACCACCCGCTCTCCCTCCCTCTCTCTAGGATCCAGCACATGACCTGCTATATCTCACCTTAGACTTTGTGCTCGACTTGGTCATGCGGCCTTGCTCGGCTGCCATCTCCAGCTGTGGTGCCAACGAGCGAATCTTGTTCAGCGAGTTGTCGAAAGCTCCCGCCGGCTGCTGCTGCAGTGCCATCTCTCCTGTTGATGCTGGTGCGGGTGCGAGTGCTAGTGCTGGAGCTGGAGCTGGAGCTGGAGCTGGAGCTGGAGCTGGAGCTGGAGCTGCTCCACCACTACCACCCCCAGTTCCTGTTCCTGCTCCTTTCTTCCCTCCAGACTCGCTTCCCCTGCCCACCGGAGCGTTGTCCTCCTTTCCACTGCTTTCAAATACTTCTCCTGCCATGATGGGCATTAAGCTCAAGTCGCTGGTCCTTGCTAGCATGCGCTGAGTAGCCGCCATGGCGCTGCGAGGAAGACCAATGGAAGAGAGGAGGAGGGCTGGGAGCGCTACCTTCTTTGCTGCGGGGATGCGGCAACCTCCCGAGTTGAGGTACGTGTGCAACTCGTCGCTCCTCTCAGCTGGGGCCGAGCTGCTCGCCAGCCTCTTGGACTTTCTCGTCCCATACCCTCCCAGTGCGTCTGCCTGACGTTTGAAGCGCTGAATGTCCGCGATAGTCTGGAGGTCCGGGGGGAGCATGGAAGGAGCCTCCAAAACTCCATCGTTGGGATCGCCTCCCCCTAGGGCAGGAGGGAGACGGATGCGTCTGGTCCTCATGGGGACCCACTGGTCGTGCCTGGAGTTCCAACCGAGGAAGTGAACTTTCACTCTCTCCTCTGCTTCGTCGATCTGCGCGATGCGGGCCGGGAGGAAGCTTCCGTTGTCCTCACATTCAATGAGCTGATTGTTCTCCACGATCATGGGAGGAGTGGGTTGAAGTAGGATGAGCTCGTTGACTTTCTGTAGTGAGATCTCGTCCTCGTCCTCATCCTCATCTTGCTTCTCCTCCCCCTTTTTGAACTTCGCTTCGTCATCAAGCTCGTCTCCTGATTCCAAAGAATTCGCTGTTTCATGAGACCTTTCCTGACTGAGTTGCTCTCCAATGTCGGTGACAGTCGAGGTCAGGGAAGGAGAGGAAAGTAGTGTGTCTTCCTGTGGCTGGCCGACATTACATCAGCCTCTCTCAAGGATACAGCAAGACGTCACCTTCTTGAAAGCGGTTGAGAAAATGTCGGGTATCAGATTGCAGACAACCTGTAAGGAGCATCTCCTTTACAAGAGATGAAGGAGGACGAGGAAAGAACTTACTTTGTTCGAGGTTTGCTCTACGAGTTTGTAAGTGTTGAACTTTTCCTTCTCTACTGATTGCTTCTTTGCATCGAATGTTGCTACTAATCCCTTGGCGATTGCAGATGAATCGCACCCATCCTTGTGCGCGAATGGGCCCTTCATGCAGCAAGACACAACTTCATCCCACGTCAGGTGCTCTTCTAACACACCATTCTCATAGGTAACACGGAAAAGACCAATGTGTGGGATCCCTTGCAGCTTGGTTACGTCGATGTCCTCCGGGTCGATCTCAAGTTGCCAGACCTCCTCGTTCCTCTCGAAGTCAACCACCTCCCCAACAAGATCTCCATAACCGTGCAAAGTCCGCAGTATCCTATGCCCCAGCCAGTCTTGGCAGTACTTCTTGCGGAACAAGATCAGAGCCTCGATGAGCTCATACTCCTCAAGGTCTTCTTGAAAGTATGCGTCATCGTCAAATCGGATCTTCCAGAGGGCTGCAGACTTTCCTGTCATGGACGAGGTGAAATCCGCAAGGTGTTCTGGAAGCCACTTGATCACTGTGGCATTCAGGAGATTTGTTGTCTGAACGCCTTCAGAGTAGGCGAATCGACTGATCCTCAGCCCCAAGTAGATGCTTCCTGTGCACAGCCAATCCTCTTCTGAGTCTTCCGAGCCATTGGACGGATTGCTTGCAGGATTTTCCTTACAGTCTCCATTGCTCCTTGATGACTTCTTTTCGTGTGTGTCTAGTGAAGAGAACTTCCCCTTCCCATCAGATTTGGCCCCTTGTGTGTTGAAAGCAGAGTTGCAAGGGTTGATCTTTTGCATGGAGCGTTTCAGCTTCTTGAACTCTTTCATGCCTTTGTCGTATTCGAATGGGGAAGCAATTCTTTTGAGCGACGACTCGTCCTTTGATTTCTCAGTCTGCAGCTTGTTCAAGAGAGATTGTGCGGAGGCCTCAGTCTTGACTGTCAGAATCTTTTCAATGTTCGACTCTGAGTGGAGCTCCTTGAAAAACTCTTCTCTAATATCTGACATTTTCCTAGTTCCACACCAAACCGCATCCCATCCGTTCAATTCGATGGAAACCCCACATTTATGCGCAAATGCAGTTATGGTCTCATATGTCTTTCCTCTGCACAAAAATTACAATGAAAAAAGAAAATCTCCAAGGAATACCGGCAGATGATTTTGCCATCGCGAACAGTTCCCACTTGATTCTTGCAGACTAGGTTTGCGTTCTCAGGGATTTTGATCCCAAAGAGATCTTTCAATTCCAAAGCATTACTCCTGTTTCGTGACTGCCCGCCAAAGCCTCTAGTAGGTCTGGTTGTTTCCTTGACTTCGCTGTTGGCGGTCGAGAAGGTCTGTTTGAGGGACTTCAGCTTGCGAACATAGCTCTCTCGCTGACTTCGCAGGTATGATTCCATCGCTTGAATAAGGTCAAACTCCCCTATCTCTGTGCACTTGATCTTGTAATCGTCGATCTCTACTTTCCACACTGGAGAGTCTTCTGGGTTCTCTTGATTCTCTTTAACTAGAGGTCTTCCAGGTTTCCAAGCAACAACAACCCCATCGACTTCCCGGTTGCTGTTTCCCTCCCCTTCCAAATTGACGCGAACCTTTTGCCCGATATAAACACTTCCGCTGTGAAACCTTTGTCCCCAATCAGCAGCTGATATGTGAGAGAAATCAAATCACCATTGTCCTTCATTTTGCACACTCGCTGGCAATGCAGCTGTCTGTGCAGATACTGTACTATGTTCCACCGCCATACCAGCCTTTATGTACAAGTTCAAAACTTTCCAAAAAGGAGGGAGAGTCAAATCACCTGCATAGTGCCTTTCCCCGAAGAAGTTGCTGTTGATGTTCAAATCATCGTCCCTTCAATTTCTGCCACCAAGAAACTGTAAGCTCATGTCCCTGGCGATTGACAGCTTGAGCCTATCACATCCCATGAGTTTGAAATTCATGATCAATCTTCCAAATGCAACGTTTTCTTATTTCTTCTCCGTCTTTCCAACTCATCCCTTGCGATCCTGTCTCGCTGGCTAGCTCATCTTGTACGTTCCTTGCTCCACCCCGAGCACCCTAAATTCTGCCAATCGCTGACAGTGTCTATCTCGATCTTTCCTCCTCGTCCTCTACCTCTCTCCTGTTCACCTCATACTCCTCTTCGTTGTTCTGTCGATCCTGACTTCTTGCATTCTCTCTTCGCTTTCTCCTGCTCATCTTCGTGTGTCCCTTTCACAGTCTGGTCCTGTCTCTTGCTATCTTTCGAATCTCTACTTTCTTCTTGACTGCTCCCCCATCTCTTCTCTCCTCTCTCTCCTCTCTTCTTTCCTCTACAGCCATCCTGTCTTCTCCTCTCTTCTTCTCTGCTTCGCATCGCATGCCGTATCCTGTCCATGTATTCCGACATGCCGGGCGGGAGAAACTACCCCATCCGTTCACCACCCCTGCACCCTGCACCCCCACCCTTCTTCTTCTACAAGAACCCCTCATTTCCTACAAATTATTGAGAAGATTCTACCACCGTTATCCACCCCTACCCCCATCCATAGAACTGACCATCACCTGGTTTCAATCATGTACCCCTGTTACGTGTTCACAACACTTTTCAAGCTGATGGTACCTCTACCCTTGAAAGATCCATCAAAAAGACCCCTTCACTCCACCCCACCCAGCACCCCCACCGTGTACTGAAACCACCCCACCCCCTCAACTAACTTCGAACAAACTTCGTTCATACTTGTACAGCACCCCGGCGGCCCGGCCCGGCCCCGGGCCCAGCCTCCGGTCACCGGGTGTCACTAGTAGTCCGATCGTATCAAGTTGACGGAAGGCCTAGTTTGTAAGTAAAACTCGCTTTTCGATGCCAAAGTAAAAGATGAAGTTTTTTCTAAGTCCGAGTCAAGTTGCCTCAGTGAACACTGCCGGGCACATCGGCCCAAAGCCGGAAGGATTGAGGAGCCAATCCGAGCCTGACTCAGGAGAGATAGCTCGGACTCAGTATGCTAGGATGTTCGCCGTCTGACAGGAGGTATTTGTAACAAAAACCTCCTGTGCCGCCTCACAACACGTAAGAGTCGTCCGAGTTAGTTCACAGGAGGTTTTTGTTAACTCGGCACCATCTGACTGCCGGGCCGCGGCTAGCATGCGATCCATCATAATTTTCTACAAACATTGAATTTTATTGTTCACTTAACTTCACTGGCCTTCACTGAAACTGAGGCGAGAGAAGAAGCGCATCAGGCCAGCCTCCCTCATATAGTGAGGGATTGCCCAGAATGAAGTTCCAGTCCTGGCGGTGTGTAATTAGATCAGTCGCTAGTTATCAAGACTGATAGAGCATTGCCGCTCCATTCATCAGAGCATTGAATGCTCCATGACAAAACAAGGATAGACAATCAACAAACGGCATCAACAAACAAGCTTCACAGACAAATAGCTTCACAGACCAACAAGCTTCACCGACAATCTATTCGCCAAGGATTGACTTCTTGGAATCGGAGGCTGAGAAGAGATCAAATTTTGATGCCATGTGTCAAGATTGAGCTCAGTGGGCTTGACGATAGCTGTTCAATTTCCTGAGGTGCAAACCCACTTGCTTTGAACACAGAAAACTGCTCGTCTAGCTGCTTGCAGACGTCCTCTCCCAAGTCGTCCATCACCTTTTTGAGCAAAGTCGCGGTTCGTATCCTATGAAACATGGCCAGGCACTCGTCTTCATCACCAGGCCACCGATGCGTCTCTGACAGCTGGCTCAGGTACATGGGACAGCGAGTTCCAATCTTAGTCTGCCAGCTAACATTGTGACCGTAAATTCCTCTCTGGCTCCTACTCTTGTTTGCGTCCTCCTCCTTCTTGCCGCAAAAGTAGCACCAGACCTGCCTGCACTGGAGACAGACCATATGGGTACAGTTGTGGTCCTTCATGCCAGATACCCCGCAGGACGGGCAAGACACCTTCATTCCAAGCTCCAGGGCTTTCTCAACTCGCTCCTTCTGTACACCGAGCTCGGCACACTTGAAATGCTTCTGGATGTCTTCCAGACTCTCCTCGTCTTCTTCGTATCCATCTTCCAGTCGAGGGCATTCTAGCATGCAAGTGGAGCAAGACACTCTCTTGCAATTCATAGACTTGCACTCAATGAACATGTTTCCATGTGTAGAAGCTCGAATCTCAAAGTATGGACAGAAAGGGCAGCGGAAGATCTTTTCCCCTTCCGATGTAAGTTGAGATGAAAATACGTGAACGAGCATGAGATGTTGGAACTCTTCTTTCTTTTCTGCAGAAAGACATTTCTCCACCATCTGCAGGCAAACAACATCACACCAACAAACAAATTCACGAGCAGGTACCTCAACATTGAGCTCTATGGAGCAAATGGGACATTTTGGTGGCAAGTTCTTCCCTGGGTTTTCCCAAATGCCTCCAAGGAACCCTTCGCTGCAGCTTTTGCAGATAAGATGACCCTGCATGCATACAATGCCCTTCGAGTCTCTTGACATCTCGTCCTGGCATCCCATGCAGTTGCCAAGTCTGCTCTTGATTTCTTGAACATCTACTACTTTGCTGCATTCAGTTGTTAGATGTCACATCAAATCTATCTTTTGAGATTCTTCACCTTGGATCTTCTGTGCTCTCTCCATCGCTTTCATCTTTGTCTTCTTCATCTTTGCTTACTACATTCACATTGACTTCGTACTCCTCGTCCTCGTCCTCGTCCTCGTCCTCGTCCTCCACTTCCTCTTCCTCTTCCTCTTCCTCTTCCTCTTCCTCTTCCTCTTCCTCTTCCTCTTCCTCTTCCTCTTCCTCTTCCTCTTCCTCTCCCTCTTCCTCTCCCTCTTCCTCTTCCTCTTCCTCGTCCTCTTCCTCTGAAGGCAAATAAGGTGGTGTATTTCCAGCATATCGATGCATCTTTCTGCGTAGGTGATCAGAGGGGTTGATCAAAACAGGATGAGCTTGAAGAGGAGCAATATATTACTGAGTGGAATAGAGGAGGACGAGAAGGAGAAGGAGTAGGATGTGGAGGATGTGGAGGATGTGGATGATGATGATGATGATGATGATGATGATGATGATGATGATGATGATGATGATGATGATGATGAGGAGGAGGAGGAGGAGGAGGAGGAGGAGGAGAAGGAGCTTCAGCGATGGAGCCTCATATGAGGGCAGAGTTTGTGGGTACGAAGCAGGGGGTATACACATGAAGGGGTCCTTATGTCCACCCTACTTCTTTTCACATGTGACCGAATACACCCGGGAAATTAAGAAGAAAAGCTTCTTCCAAGCAGGGGTACATTTTGATGCGGGGGTACGGCTGAAAGATGCTTTTGTTCATGGGTGGGTAGTGGGATGGTTCGTGGCTGGAATAGCTAGGAACATGATGAGAGCCTCGTCCCCGCTCAGACCACCCTGCCAGGATCCGAGTCGGCAGGCCCCGGGAAATCCGGGTGCGGCCGCCGGGCCTTTCGAGTTACTCGGAAGTACAGCCTCATCCCCGCTCCTCCCAATCATGTGAGGTTTACTGAAAGTTAAGTTAAAATCAGTACACGGACAATCAGGAGACTCCGTCACGGTAAACTTTCAGGAGGCTTGACCCTGACACACTACTACCGCACTGCTCGGAGCCTGTCCGATCATTCACCGTGATTGCACTAGGCCCGGCCCGGCCGCGATAACTGATCATCCGATACTCCTTCAAGTCACTCACGGTAATCATTAGTACTTCAAACTTGACAGCAATCCTTTGACAGCTTTTGCCCTCTTCCCCGCTCACAACCGGCGCATCTCTCTTGTCCGATCAGTTGACCGTCGCAATGGCGTGGAAGTAGTGTGACAGAGCGAGAAGGAGATGACAAGATGATGGTCATGAACGATGCAATGATGGTAAATGTTGTGGAGCTAAGATGTTGAGGTGATGATGGAGACGGAGACGATGATGGAGATGGAGATGTCATCTCATCCTATCATTCCTCATTTCTCACTGTGAGCCATGACTGTTGGGGATGTCGGCCGTGAAGTAGCATAATCTGTGATTTGGGTGGTTCAACTATGAGAATGGAATGTACAATTAGCTGAAAAGGAAAAACTGGCTGAAAAGGAAATGATTCCCACATTAAGAGGACGAATTGACTTGTATGCCTTAAATGTCTGTTTGCAGATGGCTGCATGAGCCTGATAGATCCTTCGACATGGTTGAAAAGGTTCAAGTCTGTTTTGCTTTGTTCATCCCTTGACAAGCTGATTTCAGGAAGAACCCAGGACAGGTAATTCACGTTGTGACGATCATCATGCTCTCGAACTCTACTCCTTGTTTGTTGTAACTTGCCCAAAAGCCTCCAGGCACTCGAGGCATTCAGCTGTGAGTGTGCAGTCCAGCTATGCAGAAATTCCGGATTTTCGTGCGATTTACTACATCCAAGGTCCAGACAGGTTGATCTCGACCATCTTGACGAGCTGCATGCAGGTGCCCAAGGGTATGAATCGATTCAGTACAGGTAGGACTGAATATGCCATGATGTGGAAGTTGAGCGTGTGGTCGATGTTGTGAGGATGATGCGAGGATTACATCCATTTGCTGAAAGATTATGATAGCAATTTAGACGATATGGAGGGGAAGGGGGAAGGTAGGGGCGGGGGCGGGCGGGGGCGGGGGAAGGGAGAAGGGGAATGATGAGGACTAGGATGTTTTTTTTTCAGATTAACTGTTCGAGCTTCATATGAATCTTTGACTGAGAGATTCACTGCAGCTCATGGGGATGCCTCCCAACTCCCAAGAAGTTTTCGTATCCGCGGACGGGAGTGCCCAAGGACAACAGCCCCTCAGCTTCCGTCCAGTGAGTCCTGGAGGGAGGATCGAAGAAGTATTAAGTCTTGATCAGGGAAAGTGATTTTCTCGCTGTGAGCAATCGCGATCACTTTCGTTCCTCGTCAGGTGAGGAATCTGAACTCGATGATGCGTTGTGGGTCATTCCCTGCCAACCAGCTCAGAGCTCTGGCGCTCTTGAAGCCCAGGGATCAGGAGTGGTTCAGAGCCATCGAAATGCGGGCATATCGAGCTGGTTACAACCTTCACCCTCCTCTCTGTGCTTGCTCATGCTTGATGCAGCGGATTGTTCAGCATGGATTCTCTAGAACACGCATCTCCTCACAAGGCTTCTCGTCCCAAGACCATTGCGTTAAGACCTGATCGCCGAGTCGCAAGGGATTTCTTTGGTTTGCAGCATGTCTGCACGCTACTATGCTAAACTCGAATCACAGATAAGGAATCGACACCCTCTTCCTTCATGGACCTCACGATGACGGCTTCAGGTAGCTGAGAGAACCTTGTTACCTTTTCTGACGAGGTATCGCTAGCCATGAAGATCCTTGAGAGCAAGGAAAAGACCAACAACGTGTTACACCGAAGGGAGGAGAAAGTGAGTAGCTAGCAAGATCTTCTTGCGAGTGCTACTGACTTTGCCTGACTTGAGCAGCATGAGCAGACGCCTGAACAGGCTGCAGAGAAACATAACAGCTCATCTCCGAAAAGAAGCAAGTCCGCAATGTCCGTGAGGCATGGAAGGTTGGTCTTGAAGTCCGTGGAGCAACCTTTCACAGCGCCACGGGGGGTGCGGTACACAACAATGACGAGGAGCGGGCCCTTCCGGGAAGATTTCAAACCCAACGGCTCGCTGTTCTTCCGGAAACATTACATCAAGAACGAGAGTCTGCAAGAGTCTGGATTAGAGGATTCCTGATGGACATGTCGATCGAGAAAGGCATTTTGTTCATGTGTTAACGTTCATGTAAGGTCTAGAATGTAGGAAGAAGATTATTCTTTTCACAAGTCTTGAAGCATTCTATCATGTCACTGGCACCTTCATACAACTCCTCTCCGTCGAGTCATGCGCACCATCAAGTAGAAGCTGCTCAGCTCCTAAGTGATAACCTGTAGCGTTCTTCCACGGCAGATCCGATGACTCTCAGTCGACTTCTAATAGCACTGCACGATTTTTCATGAGGTGTTCCATTCATCATGCATTAATCTTTCACGCAATCTGACTCGCTTTGATCGTTCTGAATCCCAAAATTTGTACACAACATCATTTCTGCTTAGCAAACTCCAGTTTTGACGCATCTTCGCCGATCAGACGCATCATAACGTTCAAGAGAGCTTGTCTCTCCTGTCTCTCAAGCTCCCGATCCTTTCTCCGTTCCTCATCTCTGATCATACGCTCTTTTCTTTTCTGTGCCTCGCGCTCTTCTTCTCGCTTCTTTCTCAGCTCTTCTCTCTCGTCCTCTCGTCTTCTCCTCTCTGCCTCCCTTTCCTCCTCTCTCTTCTTGCGCTCTTCCTCCCTTGCATCTTCCCTCTTTTTCCTTTCTTCCTCCCTGGCTTCGTCAAGAATTTTCCATGTTTCCCGCTCGGCCTTGATCGCTTGAAGGATGGCCCAAACGCCCTCTGCATCACTCTTCATGCAGCCCTTAATTGCGGCGGAAGCTCTAGCATGCTCCTTATCGAGGGCGCTATCATCGTCCTGCAAGTCTCGGATATCACCTGCAGCTGCTCGCGCTTCAATGGCCTTCTCAGCTGCAAGAAACTTCTCGTACACTGCCGACTTCGCTTCGTCGTCCTCGACACCCTTCTTCGCGTCCCTCAGCACTGAGATGTACTTGGTCCTGAGCGAATGTGCATCCCTAGGAAAGCATATGGAGGGATGGGAGTTGTACACATCCCCAACACGGTCCCAGTGAATGGCCAGCAGCGGCCGGACCTCGTGTACGACGTTTGCCAGGACATCCAGCTCCTGAGGCCTGAACATCTTCCTACCCTTGCCCGTCCCTATGGTCCTCAGCCGTGCCTTCTTCTTCGGATTCACATCGTCGCATACTGAGTCCTCGGGAGGAGGAAGAGGATCAGCTGCATCTCCAGCCGCTACCGCCATCGCCTCCACTGGCTGGGAAGAGTGGGGCATGGGCACTGGGTTGGAATTTTTAAAAACGTACAAGTATTTTCGAGAAATATTTGTTTTTAAATTATGTACTCCAAAAACATATTATTTTTATGTTTGTTCCTGATCAGATTGATTGCCAATTTTTAGGAATATATATATATATATATATATATATTGTATAAATAATTATTCATATTATTATTTTGCAAGCAAGTTTTATTAAATGTTTTATCATTTACAGAGTATAACCCTTTGTACCACATCACAAATTGTACTTTAATTGATAGAGATATTTTAAAATAATATATGTACCATACATATTGATTTAATTGGTACTAACATTCATGCCGATGGCCTCTCATACAATCAGACCCTACCCTCAATCTTCCCTAGCATTGTGGAGACCGGGTAGGGTTGTGACGTTTTACATAGTGGTTAAGTGACACACTATGACCAATGGTGACCCAAAAATTAGAATCTCAAAAAAAAAGTCGAAATCGCGGTGTGGTGCAAACCCCGAACGGTAAAACAACAAAGGAGCAACGAGAATATAGAATGTTGTGATTAAAAAAAAAGAACATCCCTGCAAATCCACCGGTACAAATCAATTCTTCCGAAGTCTAAACACCCGTCTGTTTATCTATCAAAGTAGAAGTAGGGGTGGGTACCAGGTTTGTGGCTCAACAAACTTCGAATATTTCCCGCCTTCCCGCCTTCCCGCCTTCATCCGAAGTCTAACTACCCGTTTGTTTATCTGTCGAACTTGAGTAGGGGTGGGTACCAGGTTTGTGGCTCTGTAAAGATTTCCCCGCCCTCCCGCCTTCTCTCCCTCCCTCCCATCCTCCCTCCCGCCTTCCATCACTCCCTTCTTCCCGCCCTCCCTCCCTCCCTCCCTCATTCCCGCCTTCCGAAGCTCCCGCGTTCACCCTGATCAAATATGGGGAAAAGGAAAAGAGGAAAACAAAGAAAGTCTTGTTCTGATTCACAGACGACTGTCAAGATGTGTTTGAAAAAACATCTCAAACATCACACAATGATCGGTGTGATTGATGATTGGGTGAAACACATAAGCAAAATAAGCCATCGAGGTAGCATCATCTTCAATCATCTATTGTTATGGTGTTTTGAGAAGGATTCAATGCAAGGTGATGATACGTACATTACAAGGCTGTTTGATCAGATATACAATCGTACTAGAAAAGTAACAGACAAAGAAAAAGAAGAAGGGATGCAAGAAGAAACGGTCAAGACCAATGGTGGAGAGAAAGTTTTCTTTCGGACCTGTTTTCTGATGGGTGAAAAACGCAGAGGTAATGCAATTCAGTTTGATATTTTAGACGAGTTTTGGCAAGAAAAAGGGAACAAGTATCTACCAATACAACGCAGGAAAGAAGGGGATATTCGAGTACTGTACTATTCTGCTGATCAATATGCAACAAATTTCCAAAATTACATATTCTATACGATGGGACAAAAACAGACTAGATACATAAAGGAATGGGGAAAGCTCAATGGGATTTCTTCAGAAAAGGAGATACAGGATATACGGAATACAGTAAACGGATGGAGCTTTCCACCAAAAACTCGTGTTCTCGAAAGACAGGATGTCATTGATTTCATAAGGGAACAAAAAGAGATCATTGGATGGGACAATCATTATAACTTGTCATGGGCCCGTGACAAAATCAAGAAAAACCCTGAACAGCAAAAATGGATGCAATTACACATGCCAAATCTTGTCAAGTACCATTTTTCGGTTCTGAGGTTTTTGGAGATTCATGATATATCTGATCGATACACGATCGCTCCGATTTTTCAGATACGCAAACAATTTATTCGCGTAGACATTTGGGGTTTATTCTACATTATGGATCAATCTGGTCTGTTGCAATATTCAAAGGGTGGGAAAAGCAAATGCATGAAAAAGTTCATACAACAAAAACATAAGCGATTCTTGTCGGTGTTGAAGCTACAATCAAATTTGAGAAAGAAAGGGACAGTTGATAGCATACAGACTGACGGAGTCGCACTCTGTGTGACGTTCAAGAAGAGAATACACAATGAGACAGACAATACTACTACAAAGAAAAGCAAAACAAGAGATTGTGATGTGTCATCAAGACGAGTTATTGCAATCGATCCTGGTCGCAATGTACTGATATGCGGTGTCGAGCAAATACCTGGTCAAGAAAAACCAAAGCAGTATCGATATACTCGAAGGCAGTACTATCATGAGTCTCATATTACTCGGAATAACGCCAAGTTAGAAAAATGGAGACAAGGCATAACAGAAGAATCAAACGATATTGCAAGAGTGTCAGCAAAAACGTCTCGGTTGGATCACTTTGAAAGATACATCGACACCGTGGTGAGACTAAGCGAGATCCTGTTCGAACACAATTGTCAAAACAAGTTCGCACGCCTGAAGATGGATAACTACATCCACAAACACAAGGCGATTGATACGTTCTTCAAGAAGATGAAATTTAATGGGACAGATCAAAATCCAATAATTGCATACGGTGATGCATCATTCGGTTGTACTGGGCGTGGAGAGAAGTCAGTGCCTGTAAAATGGATCAAAAGGCGATGTCAGAACTTCTTCGAGGTGACGGCAGTTGATGAATACAGAACGACAAAATGTTGCAATCAATGTCATCAAGAATTGTATGATTTGAGACGCAAACAAATCAACAAGAATGGTATACTTGCTGACGAAGTGTCAGTGGTGCGGGGTTTGAAATGGTGCAGATCCACCAATTGTGTTCAAAACCGTATCAAGTCTCGTGATGTCAATGCTGCTATGAATATTCTATTGTGCTACATGTCTCTACCAGCACGACCAGATTTTCTGAAACGGCCTTGAATCACACATGGGTCTGGTTATACTTCAACCTGTTCTTCATAGAAAGGATGAAGTACGAGTCAGACACAAGGAAATATTGGCGTGTGGGTCTTCAATGATCCATAATTTCGACGGAAAATTTAGAATTTTGAAATTTTATGTTTTGTGTCGTTTAGCTAATAGCTATGGCGGCTTATCCTTTTACGTACCTCTTTCAATGTCGCTACTGTCGCAGCTCCTCCTCCTCCTCCTCCTCGTTGCCTCCTTCTCTGTCATATCTCTCACCTCCTCTCCTTCCCATTTGCTCTTGCTCCACCTTGCCGCATTGTCCTACCTGCTGCACTAGCCCGATGTACATTCTATTAACAGCAAGTTACGCACCTCCTCCTCCAATGGAAACCTCTGAACGCTCACCTCACAAGGATCCTAGGATTTCCTCCCCTGTTCTCTTTTCATCTTTTCTTCCTTCTTTCAATTTCTCCTTGGTATCCTTGCTGATTTTCCTGCCTTTGTCCTGTATGATCTTGGTCATGCTAAGCCACACAATTTTAATGCTTGGATTGTTTCCTTGGTGTACTTGTCCTCACTTTCGATCTCTGACTTCTTGACTTCTTGAATTGTTTTACCTCCTTTCACGTAATCTTGTCATTGAAGGAAATGTGTGTACCCATTGAAACAGCTCATTTCTTGTCATAGCCACCCTCACTCATCATTCGCTTCTAGGAGGAGACATCGAGCTGTACTCATCACATGGCGGCAAACACGGAAAGACCTGTCCATGCGCATGCATCGCGATCAAACGCAGCATCAAACCCGTCGCAGAGGAAGGCCTCCGACGGATCTGCCTCCAAGGGAGCGAGAAGGATGACAACGTCTCTAGCTCGCATGCCCTGGGCAGCATTCTCTGCGGTTTATCATGCTCCTCAAGCCGTCTCGAGCATGGTCTCGGAGTCTGCCAAGGGGATCAGGTAGCCTTCTGTGTCGACACTGGAGCTTCGAATGTGTGACCATGCTTCATGCAGATCAGCGAGTAAATCGATGTCTGGGTCCTTGGAGTTTCAGATGGCAAAGAAATTGTTCGGAGCGTTCGGTGACTTGTGAGTTGTTATTTGTTGCTGGACGAATGTCAAATGATACTTGACGACAGGTTCTCCGGATTTCTTGAGCTCGGGGCTCTCATTGCGAGCATGACGCTTCTCTTTTGGGTCTCAGGGTTGTTTCTCGGCCTGGCTTTCTGCTCTGTAATGACTTGACTCTTCTTCTCAACTCAGGCGCATGGCTTGACTAGCGTTTCTTCAGGTCTTCGTAGCCGCTGCTTGTCTCTACGTCCTCATCTGTGCGGTGAGCATGAACTGGTGCCTGGACCGCGTCCGGGTGTACCTGAGGGATTGCCTCGTCCTACGAGTCTGCTCTGTCGCCATCCCAACCGTATCAGTGCTGAAGGGCTTGAAGTTTACGACAGGTCAGGGAGGAGCTGGGGAGTCAGTTGAGGACGTTTTGACACGATGGGGTGCCAGGTGTAACTGTTCACTTCCCCGACAAGTCAATGGTCTGGATCCTGCATGCGGGGAACTGGGTAGTTCGGCTCTGCTGGAAGAATTGCTTTGAGAACCCAATCCTCCTCTTCAGGTTGAGCTGCTTGTTTTGATCCTTGGTGATAACGATGTTACATGGCAGAGGGCCGGTACAGAATGCAGACATGTCTGTCGACGAGCTGGCGGTGATATCACGAAGATTTTCGTTCTTTTCAACTCATCTCATGCTGACTGACTGCGCTGCCGGCAGCACTCGTCTGATACCAGCGCCCAAGGGTAAAGACGGCGGATGTTTACTGTGACTTCTGCTTCAAATCTATTCATTTCATTACCAACACTTTTCATTAACTCATTACCGTGCAACATTGAATGCTTTGGCTCCTGAATGCTTCGGGGCACTGGCAATATCACATCAGACTCGGACTCCTGAGTGAACTTTGTCCCTGGCATGCATCAGTCGGGCCGCGGCCGGGCCCGCGCCCGCGCCGCGCCGCGGGGCCCGGCCGGGCAGGGCCGAGCCCGTCCTCATCCCCCTCATTCTCAACTTGACAGTCCGGCGAGGACGCTGACGCGGCATGGCAGAAGATGGGGAATAGGAAGATGAGAGGAGAGGAGGAGGGACGAGGGAGGGGAGGAGAAGAAGCAGGAAGAGGAGGGACGTAGAAGGAGGGAGGGGAGGGGGGGAAGGGAGGAGAGGAGAGGGAGGGGAGGGAGGGGAGGGAGGGGAGGGAGGGGAGGGAGGGAGGAGAGGAGAGGGAGGGGAGGGAGGGGAGGGAGGGGAGGGAGGGGAGGGAGGATGATATTTCGGAGATTCCAGGGAGAGAGGAGAATGAGAGGAATGGGAATCTGGCAGAGCGGATGTATGTGAAAGTGAAGTCAAGTGGGAAAGGAAGCACATCAGAGTGAAGAAGGGTGTATTGTTGTGTTACCTCAGTCTTGTGTTTGACGTGGAGGAGGATAAGTTGAAGGTTTCAGCAGACGCCCCGCAGGGGATTAGAGCAGCCACTAGTAACCAGACATGTTCCGTCAGAGATGGAGAAACTGCAGTCGCGCTCTCTGCTCACGTTGCCAACATGCTGAACATGAACGATCAGGTTGATGCGAACGAGGTAACAACAAGGTGAAGCATCACCGGCATGGCGTTCAACAATCCTTCATCACGCACTCCCGTGTCCTATGGCAGCGCCACCAAGGCGCTAGGCTACATGGTCTCCATGGTGTCGAAGGCATTCTCCGGGGAGGACGAGGACGAGCATGCGTCCCTCCTGAAGAAGAAGAAGGGCAAGCAGGAGAACCGCTTCATGCTCAGCGCCTGCTGCTGCTGCATCATGATTCTCCTTGCGACCGTCATCGGGTTTGTGTGGGCGCTCAAGTCGATGAGCTACCCGGGGTATCATCCTCCTGCTCGACCGGAGTGGCGGCACCATGACAGGGGGGGGAGGCAGAGGATGCACGTCAGGGGCAGAGACGTACGGGATGTGATGAGGACGCGGCAGAGGGGCGTGATGGAGGGGCAGTGAGTGTGAATAGGTGGACTTGTGCTGTAGGCGCAAGGATTTTGACTGGAGGAGGAGGAGGAGGAGGAGGAGGAGGAAGCAAGGGATGGCCAGGGGGAGAGGAGGAGACGTCGGCGAGGATCTCATGCTTTTCCTACAAGCCTTCACTTGTAAATTTTTTTCAAACATTTGGATTGAAATTCGGATGACAAGTTGCCACCCCGCCACCCTCTTCACTCTCCTGGTATGTTGTGTTGTTTTTTTAAGCTGTTCTGTTGTCTCTCTTGCCATCGCTGCATACCTTCCCCTGTTCCTATTCCTTTCCTGTTGTGCTGGATTGGTTGTTTCATCCGGAATGCTCTTGCTTCGGTCCAGTTTCCCCTCCCTGCTACTTCATCATCATGCCTTCGCTCTCTCATGACGTCGGAGGCTGTTCTCTTGCTCCCTTCTTCTTCACTCCAGCTTCCCTGTCAGGTTCCTCTCCTCCCTCCTCTCCTGACTGTTCTCAACTCGTCAAATCTGCTATCGTGTAGTCTGCTGCGCGCCGAAACTTCCAGCCCTTGAGCATGCAGCCATGATGTATATTACAAGTCAAGTGTATCAAGGGAGCATAGCTTCTGCCAACTGGAATTCCACGTCCTCCTCCTCGAGCAAGTCCTTGAAAATCCTTTGGGGGCATCAGGCAAGAAACATGCCCGCACCTCTCACCTTCTACTGTACAACGTGGCAGCCTTTGGGACCCGCAGAACAAGTCGGAGAAGTCTGAGACAAGAAGAAAGTGAGGAGCAAGTGGAACACGAGAACGTCTGATGGTACAAGATTGAATGGACCTCATGTAAATGAAAACCTCTCCTCCTGCCTTGATGCTTACCTGCCTGCCCCTCCCTCCCTCCCTCCCTCCCTCCCTCCCTCTCCCCCACCCTGCTCGTTTCATCTTGCTCTCTCTTTCTCGCTCCATGTGACACTTCTCTACCTGTCCATCCTGTTGATCGTTGGGTTGCGCATGTCTGATGATGTGAAGCCACTTTGCTTGTACATCTTCAGCGCTCCAGCGTTCTCCTCCTGTCAGTCATCGTCACCTTCTTCCTCCCTCCCTCCCTCCCTCCCTCCCTCCCTCTCCTCCTCCCCAATCGATTCATCGCCTCACCTCAACATGCAAGTAGATCTCGCTGACTCCATAATTCTGCGCATCAGGGCTCAGCTGACAATCGAACTTCTTCTCTGCTCTTCTCACTCGTCTCGCAATCCCCTCGCAGCCCTCGAGAAGAAGTTGACCACATCCCCTCCTCCTGAACTCTTCGCGCACCTGAAACGAATAATGAGACGATGATGGTGGTGGTGGAGATGATGATGGTGGTGGTGGAGATGATGACGATGATGGAGATGATGATGATGGTGAAGACGACGACGACGACGACGACGACGACGAGCTCGAGGGGAGGAGATGATGGAGATGATGATGATTGGAGGTGGACGGCAAATTTGAGTCTTACCGCCATGGAGGAGATGTAGATCCAATGGCGGATCATCAGATCCGTGTCTGCAAAACGTTCATGTTCCACCTCTTTCCTCCGCTCCCTCCTACCGATGGACTCATGGAGCGAACAATCGACGGAGCCAACGACGAGCTCAGGGTTTCGACTCCAACTATCCTGAAGACGCGATGCGTGAATATTGAGGATATCAGGAGGGGAGAGGAGAGGAGAGGAGGAGGGAGCGGAGAGGAGCGGAGAGTAGGTGGGGAGGGATTCCCGGAGCGACGGGGAGGGCATTGGAGGAAATACCAGGCAAGCTGCTTTCATCATCTCGTGATCGACGCTCGTGATCCAATCTCTCCTCAACAATTCGTTGAGATCATCCAGCATCATGTTCTGAGGGGAAACAAGACCCATCACGTCACGTCACATCACATCATACACCAACCTTGCAGAACAACTGTCCTCTGTCTGTCACAGCTCTTGCCACGGCGACCTGGAACATCATCATCATCACTTGCTCGCATCCCCGCAGAGCGCCTGTTACCAGGAATGTCGTATGATAGATACCCGCAAGGAAGTAGTGAGGGCAGCATTTCAACTTCCGCCTTTGCGATCGAAACATGGTCCCATCCTTTACCATCAATCATTCTCTCAGTTGCGATCACATTGACATCGTCTCCACTCTCATCATTACTGTATGAGAATCATCATCAATGTTAACACAACGATAATTGTTTTCTCATCTTCTCCATCCTCCATCCTCAGCCTGATCTTTCTCCTCCTCCTCCTCCTCCTCCTCCTCCTCCGTCTCCTCCTCCTCCTCCTCCTCCTCCTCATATCATCATTATCATCATCAAGAGGCTTACCAGATCAAACGCCATACACCTCAATTGAGCCACGAAGGTACCATCCAAACCTTTGGCATCACGGACATAGATGTCAATGTCCTTCTTCTCAATGAGATCTTGCAGCACGCTTGCTCGTGTTTCGGCCTCCTTGACGCTTGTTTGCTTCATCTCAACACAGAATGTATTTCTCGACAAGCATCTTTGGAAAGGTGCATAACGCGGGACAGCCGTCCGACCCTTGACCTCAAGCGTGCTCATGGCTCCCGCTCGATGCAGATTCATGGGGAGCGCCGACTGAAGAAACGCGGAGGTTGACGCCATGTTGAGGATAACGATGAAGAGGATGAGGAGGAGGGAGAGAGTTGATAGACATTTCATCCTCGCTTCTCCAAGATGTCCCCGCAGGAGAACTAGTTTTTCAAAGACCTGTCCATACACAACATGAGCAATTGGATGATAATTTCCAATCTTCTACAAACGTGCAGTTGCTACTCATTTGCAAACACTATCGTCATCATCTCCACCTTCGTCACATCTCCTTCTCTCTTTCCGCTCCTGTCCCCTACCCATCACTGGACAGGTACGTGATGGTGCTCAAGGAAAATTTCAAGTTTTCATATTCGGATATGCAACTCATTTACATCATGTCCTATCACTTCCTCCTTTCTCCCCAGGGCTCTTCTTGATACTCCCCTCCTCCTCGTCGTCGTCTTCCTCCTCCTCCTCCTCCTGCCCTGCCATTGCCGCGTTGCTGCTACCAACTCCACTCTCATGTCCTCAACTCCCCCTGTACCCCACCCCTTCATAAAGGACCCACCCACATATTTGAGGGCGAATCTTCACTAAAAGGACCCGGTATAAATCGGATTCACGTAACCCCCAAGAATGGGCCCCATTCCATACCCCCCAATTGAATACAAAAGGAGGGTAGGGTCCCAAACTCCAATTATGTCCTAAAATAACCCCACCCCCATTCGAGTGCAACTCATCGACTACCCCAAGTTTATTCAACAAGAATGAGTTCAAAGAAGGGGTAGTATTATACCCCTACCCTTTCCCCCTTTCGAAAGAAACACCAGTGACCTACACTAGGTAGAGCCAGGCATCTGGTCACAGGGAGGAAAGATACGAAGGAGAGGCGGAGGGAGGGAGGGAGGGAGGGAGGGAGGGAGGGAGGGAGGGAGAGAGGAGTAGGGGCGGCGGCGAGAAGCATGAAGATGGGGAAGAAACGAGAAAGTACGTTTCAGTCTGAGTAATTTTGTAGATGAAGGTACTGAGTGGAGCTGAGATTCAGGAGATGCAAGGGTCCGTGAAGTGAGCTGAGAGTGCCGAGCGCAAGGGAAGGAGCCTGTCGGGCGCTGATGCATGCATGCGAATAAACGGATACGTGGCTGAGAAGACCAGCGTGAAATGACAGAAGCGAAGGACTGGGGAGATTGAATAGAAGAAGGAGGTGACTTGTGCGGAGGGAGAGTAAGTCGGTAAACAGTTGATAAAGAAAAGAGTCACAGCGCAAGAGACTTGAGCACGAGCATCAGCTTCGCTTCACTGCGCCTGTTTGGCACGAGGACGAACATCTGACTCGTTCACTGAACGGAAGAAGATCTGATCCGGCGGAGCATCCTGTGGAGATTGCAATGAGACCGATGGAGGGGGTAGGGAGGAAGAACCTTCTCTCCTTCCTCGAAGGTGTAGGATGACGCAACGGCAAGCATAGCGCCTGTAGGGTTGAAGGCCAGGGAAGCTGAGGAAAGTCGTTACTGAGGTGCAGAAGGAGGCAACGATGAGGGGGAACCGATGCTTGTTGGATATGACCAGGGTGCCTGCGATTTGACCCTCAACAATGCTGCATGCTGCATATGCAGAGACATTGTACCTGGAGCCTCTTCTTGTTCTGACCATCCCACATGATCACCTGACAATCAGGAAGCAGACAGTACCCCGTTATGAATGGTCTCGTCCTGGAGAAATCTAGGTACCTTGCCGTCACAGCCACCCGTTGCGAACGTTCCATAGCTACATATACGATCAGGACGGAGTTAAAACTGAAATAGTGAGGGCTCACGTTGGATGAAATGCAAGAGCATTGACGGGATACACTGTGTCGATCCCTTTTTCATCCTACAGGAAAACACGAAATTCAGCACATTGTTGCTGTCTGAATTTTGGAATCCAGAGACTGCCATTTGTTATACATGTCACACCTGCGCACGATGACATTTGAAAGCATATTTCTTGGCCTTGTATTCTTGGTCAGTGCTCACCCTGTAGATAATACTTGAAAGGCCTACCTGAGATGCAGCGTCTGGGTCGAAGTACTCCTGTTCAGGATTGTCGTCATGTCGATAAAACAAAGTTTGACCAAAGTCAAACCAACCATGGCAACACGACCCTCGATCGAGCTCAAGGCATACCCTGTACCATCAGGATAGCATCTTTTATCCAAGTCAGCCGAATGAAAGATTTCTCTCCGTGAGGAGACTGTGCAATGAGCGTACCGAATGCAGCGCGTTTGAAATTTGAGGGAAGATTCTCGCTGGATTACTTATTAGCGTCTCTGCACATGCGCAAGGTCACCTGCCTTCTGTTCGGGTTCTGAGAGGTTGCGAACGTCGTAGATCCACACGTGCCTCGAAGCTGTTCCGACTACAATACTGCCAATGCAGTTCACAGATTGCAATTCAATGATCGAGGACAGCGATATCTACCGGTTGCTTGATACTGACATCGTGAATACCTGCAGTGGTTCAAACTGATGGAAAAGCAGGGAGAAGATCGTTACCTTGTCTGGCAAGAGTGTAGTATTAACGCAAGCAGTCTGGCGGAGATCCCACACTCGTAATTGTTTGTCCCAACTACCAGAAACGCAACACCCCAACTCCTTTTGCCAACATACAGCCTTGACTGCCTTGTCATGGTTCCCCAACACCTGGTTCCATGCTTCAGAGAAAATCTATGAATTCCATGTCAGAGCTAACAGATTCTGTTTCTGATGCGAAATCGTATGTCTTGACACATTTGTCCACACCCCCTGAAAAACATCGATTTTGGTCTGTGCCCCAGCAACAGTCCAGTGCTGCTGCCTGAAAAGATTGAATCAGAGCCCGGTGATGAAGCTCGATGAGAAACCTGATGATTGTATTGTGCACGTTTGGCATTCTGCACCACATCATACATCCTTACTTCGGTATTCCACGAAGAGACCAGCAGTAAATTGTGGGAGGGAGCAAACTGAATGGCTGATATCCCATCTTGTGGCGGGTCCGCGAGCTCTGACTGCGCCGTGCTCATGTCCAAATATTCTCCCAATCAACTGCAATAGCACAAAGAATGTGAACGACATTTTTAGGTGAAAGGATAACATGCGTAATTCTGTTATTGGCCGTGCCAATTTCATCCTCTCATGGGGCTTCTTGTGGTCTCCTGGGAAGTAACAAATGCTAATCTAGCTTTCCTGCTGCCCGTTGACCTATAGCTGTCACTCCCCCTCCCACCATCTTCCATCCCGATTACTGAACCCTTCCTTCTTCTCCCCCACCGATCTACCACCCTTCCACTCGTTGAATCCTCCCTCCCTGCCTCCTTCTACACTACCTCCCTCCCTCGCCTCTCTCTTCCCTCTCGTCTCCCCCTCCTCACTGTCAGCCTCGCTGGATGGAACATGTTTCGCAGAGCTTCGCCCTCATTGTGAGCGCGGGAATTCCACCGTTACGTTACGTTACGCACAATAAATCACCGGCATGCCGGGGCCCGGGCACGGCACCCGAACCAGCAAGTTGAGTAATAACTATGGCCAGCTAGGATACCATAATCCAGTCAAGTTACCATCTCTTCGTTTTACTTGCTGATGTCATCAGCTCAGGCTGTCAGCAACCGGTGGGGTAGTCCATAGGGTGGGGTGGTTGTTGTTGGTGCTTATAGCCTTGTTTGGAACGGTCCATTCCAGACAAATGAGGGGGTGGTGATATTATGGGTGGGGTGGTCATACCAGATCAACGAAGAGGTCATCCAACGGGGTGCATTGGTATTGAAGGGGGTGGGTGTGCATCAGGGGATAGGTCATGGACAATAAGAGGCTCAATTTCACTCAATTTCTTCTCGCTTCACCGGTACTTTCATACCGAAAACTCATCAGATAAGGGGGTGGGTACTATGAATTGAGATTGAATCCAAATTGGAGGACAACAGTGAATGGCATCCCTTCGAGGGGGGTAGGGTACATCTAATGAAAGGGTAGGGGTACAATAGTACCCCGTCCGATTCAACACTGTTTGGTACCATGTTTTGGGAAAGGGGGAAGGAAAAAAATTATGATTATAAGCAAGTGGTAGGGTGATGAAATTCTGTGGTAGAGGTGGGGGTGAATTTGAAACTGGTGGGTAGTTTGTGGCTTCATATGTGGGTAGGGGTGCTCTGCGTTAGGGGACATCCCCTGGGGAAAAGAGGGGTGGGGGAATAGTGAGGAGTTTCACAGCAAGGGGTGAGGTATGTTGGATGGGTTCATTCACCTAGGAATCTTAACGAACACATGTGGGTAGGGGTAGTTGAGTCAGGGGGTGAACAGTGCAAGGGGTAGTTTCCTGCAGGGGAATGAGAGATCCTTTGTGGGAACACATATTCATGATAGGTGGGTAGTCAAATTTCGGGATGGTGGGGTAGTATTATCGGATCTGGTCATGATTTTTTAATGAGGCCGAGGGGTAGGGTGGGAGTTGTTGCAAGGGTGCATGGATTATAGGGGGATCATTGAATTCGATGTTGCAACGAAGGGTAGGGTTAGCAGATATGACGGGTGTACCCCGAAAATCGACCGGGCTGGGTGGGTAGTAGAAAAAACTATTGTGGGTGGGGTACATTTGGGTAGGGGTGGGGATAGATTGGAGTTGGGATTGAGCGAAGGGGAGCGGCCATGGCCATAGACGAGGAATCAGATTATGGAGGGAAAGCGAGGTGTGGCAGTAGATGGATACCGAAAGGGTGTCATCTTTCTACAAGATGTGATGGCTGAAATATCCCTAGTTTGTTATGGCGAAGAATATAGCATGTTGGCTTCAAAACATAGAACAGATCTGTGTCATAGAAATAGCGATTCTTTGGCTGTCAGGCAGAGGATGCTTGTAGAGGATATTTCAGCATTTGATTCTCCGGGTCTGGATATTGAGATATACACACGATCGGCTTCAATGTCTCTTTGAGCAAGTTGAATTGATGTTTTAGAGTCGAGTCGAGGTTATGTGCTCTGCATTAATTCCCTTACGCCTTCCTCGCGGGGTGAATTGTTTTATCATGACACTGCCACACGTATATATTCTGTCTCACCATTGTTTTAGGTTTTCAAGATGGATTGCGAAAACGATGACCAATACATATCTCTGTTGAAAGTCGTTGAACAAAACAAATGCATTCCAGAGTTTCAAGCTTCATTTCTTACAAGGACTCTGATATGCCATTTGGTCAAGTTACATGATTTAGGTCAACCCCATGGAAGATTAGGACTTGATAATGTCTACATTCAGACAATGGGGCAAAATCGGGGCTCTATGCACGTTGGCACAGAATTAGAAAACTCATCACCTTGTCGTCGCGAACGTAGTTGTTGCTGCGTTCCGGAAACGCACAGAGCTTCATCATGCTCGCCTTCGTCGGATGCTTGGAGCGTAGGTTGTCTGCTGATACAGATGCTTACGGGCAGAGTTTGTTGCACAAGAGGAAGTGGAGATTGCATCGGGTTGTTGTATGATGTCGACCGGTCATCTCCGTTGATGCCTCTTGGGGTTTCGTTTGCGTGCATAGATTTTTTACTGCAATGTCTCTGCAGCAACCCATGCGAGCGGCCATCTCTGTCTGAGCTGTTCTCGCATGAGTATCTCATGTGCAGAGATGCAAGTTGTATCTTGGATCTCTGCTCCCGAATCGACGACATTCCGCTGCTTGTCAAGGAGGCAAGCTCAAGCAAGCCTTCCTTCGCACCAGCTATACCAAGATTGCGTTTCTGCCGCTCCAGCTTGGACGCAGCAGACTGGGATGAAGCACCTTGCATGAGATCTCGCAATAGGAGTGAAGACTCAGTAGCAGAGAAAGTTTTGTGCAATTGTCACTCCAAGGCTTGCAGGTACGCTGCAAACGTCTGTGCTGTCACTTTGCTGACATAGTTGACTTTCAGACTGTTGCCGGAAGAATCGAGTCGAACCACCTCCGAAAGTCACAGAAAACGAACGAGTGAGACGGACAGATCTGCCGCCTCTACGAAACGACGAGTGTTGTTGGAGGAGGACAGAAATGCAGCTTGCACATAGCATCTGTCAGTCGTGCCATATGAAGGTATCCAGCCACCCAGAGTCAAAGAATGCTCAGGGTATTGTATTTGCAACACTAGAAAATGTGAATAGTCAAAAGCGATATAAAAATTCCTTTGTTGATAACCGATTACCCTTGTGTGGAAGTGTATTGAACATGTACAACTGTTGTTTACATCTGATCATAGCAAGCCTATCGTCTAAGCTCACGCTTTGTATCCCCAGAGCTCATGATCCCGACGTATTGAAAAAGAGAAGTGAGCCAACTCTTGATTACATCAGATCCCAACTCTGCCATAGCGATCGTCATCACTCCCAAGTTTCTTCACCCAAAGTTTCACCTCTTGCACGCGATGGCACTTCATGCCGCTCACTGCTGGTTGAAGGCTCTCTGCGATGTATTGTCACATCCTGCAGGCTAATCAAACTGCTTCTTACGGCATTTTGCTTTCGTACGGCAGCAGTTCCCCGACTATGGGATACTTCCGTACATAAGTGCTTTGGAATATTTCTAGACAGATAATAAAGGCACAGCACAGACTTGAGGGTAATGTGCTCACTCTCAAGATATTCCTCCTTCTCCTTAGGATAGTCCACCCGATCCAGATCCTCAACAGCTGTTGAGAACCTTCCAACCACGTCACCACATGGGCCTTCAAGGTGTCACCTCGCTCACATGGCCGTGGACCTTGTTATGTCCCTTCCAGAGAACTGTGCGTATGGTTTTCCTGGGACATAAAAACGGGTTTCTGAGGTGACATCGAACACTTTCCCCTTGAGTGCAACGAGCACGGGCTTGCTCTTGTCCTGGCCATTGTAATCATGCAATCTGCAGGGCCAGTGAGTACAGGGCGAGCATGACCAAGATCATCATCACTCTTCTATCGTGAACTTCTTTAGGGCATCGACAGCTGGCTGGGTCTTGTTTTCTGTATCTAAAGGCTCGGCTGCGGCCAACTGGGCAAGGAAGGAAACTATTGCTGCACAGCATGTCAAATAGCAGGTAAAAAAGCAATAGAGGTTCTTGATCCAAGACGAAAATCGCGAGCGATCCAAAGCCTCCATGCTCCTCCTTACATTATCCCACTGAGTCTCACCAGTCGTGGTGAAGAATTCCAATGAGCGTATACGTTTTCTTGCCAGCGTCGCCATCCCAAGAACTTTTCCACCTGTATGATTGTGAGTGAAGGTTTTCGCAAACATCTCTTCTCTTCCACTCCGATCCTGATACTGATCCAGGTTCTGATCCTGATGCTGATCCTGATCCTGATCCTGATTCCTCTATGCTGATGCACCTCTCCATCATCAAGGCATCCTCTCCCCGCCATTGCAGGAGCTTCGTGGTCACAGTGCGGCATGTCAGAGCATTGCTGTAGGCGCAATGTTGTGAGCGGGGATGAGGGTCTGGATGAGGGTGGGTATTATTGGGTAGTATGGGTGATGAGGCTACAAAGTGTTATGAAGGAGATGATTTCTATAAAGCGTTATACAACAGCGAATACTAGTACAGATTTAAAACTTTATTAAATTTGACCACCTGTTCACACTCCTAGCTAGAGGTCAAACAATAATAAATTTAGATTTTTGTAAGGGGCCGTGTGTAGAATCTAAAAAGAAGATAAGTATTCCTTTGTACTGTATGGCCCTCCGAACTTGGTACTGGCTTGAAAACCTGGTAATGAAAACTTGCTCTCGTCAACGAATTTGTTTGCTGTATCTTATTAATAATTATTGTTGATTTACTGTTCTACAAAGAGTATAGCCAAAAATTGGTACTTACCGTTTTATGCGGTTTTATAAAATTAAAACTTCTTTATAACATTTGACCAGAAGTCCAGAACCTTCCCCTTAGATGGCTTTCCGTACCCGTTCAAACTTTTCGTATTTTGAGAAAATACTTTACAATTATCCTCTATATTTCATATTAAGAAAGACTTATACACTATACATTTCAAACCATTCCAAAAAGATACCCCAACCGCGCATCAGAGAAGTCCCACGACAAACCGGTATGGCCGCTTGTCGCTTGTCGCCATGCCGCCATGCCGCAACTCCCCATTTCCCTTCCCCTTCATGATCCTGTGACATCTCTTCATAGCCACCCTACTTTCCTCTCCTCATCCTCCGCACACCGCTCCGACTTTCACCATTCATGTTGACTGCTCCGCTTCTTGCGCCCCCGTCCTGTCTTGGCGTGTCAGTCTGTATCCCTTGGATCCCAACCTGTTGTGAGCGCGCCATGCTCAAGACATGCTGATATTCTAAACTTGAGATGTGAATGGAAGATGAAGTGACAACAAAACACCGAAATCCCCTTCCCCTTACCATGATTCAAATGCTGTACCTGACGCCATGCAGTCGTTACACCCTCTATACCATTCACATTTGAGTTCTTCTTGATCGAGCTTATGAAACATCGCATGATGTGATATCGTTTCATAATTTGACAATGATTTGCAGATATCTTCCAGAAACTATGTGTCTTTTCTCTCTCAATCTTGTTCAGTACGACGCACTGGGGACCAGTAGTATACCTCTTCGAGCGCTCATAGTGAATTCAGGTTTGCAAGTCTGGGTGTTTTCATGATCATGACGTTTGGGATTGATAGTTTCAAATTGGATGCAAGAAAGACCATTGGAGGCAAAGGTACATCTTCCTCATCAACTTGTCTCCATGCTCACCTCATATCCAGATGCTCTCGGCATCCATGATGAGTGTAGCAGCGGATCTTGCTGCACAGAATCTGAGATCTGTACGGAGCAAAGGTCAGATTCAACTTTGCAAGTAGCAAGAGAGGAGGAAGGGAGACGGAAAGCGAGGGAGGAGAGCGAGGGAGGAGAGGGGGGGCGAGGAGAGGAAGGGGGAGGATGGGGAAATGGAAGATGGATGGAATGAGTTGAAGGAGGATGAGGTAGAGAATATCGGGAGTGACGGGAAGATCCGCAGAGCAAAAGTGGAGTTGGGATGCTCTCTCGACGATGAGGTTTGCGCTGTGGGCGCTGGTCTGCACTCCCATCATCGACGCTTGGTGAGTAGCTCGTTGCTGTTCCGCCACGACCCCGCCTCCTGCTGTCTGTTGCGTCCAGTTCGAGTGCAAGTTTTGATTGTTGCCGCCAGGCTCACCCAACTCGATCGAGTGTTTGGTGGAGGATCCAATATGCTCGTGGTTGCGCAGAAACTCCTAGTCGATCAGGTAGACCCGATGAGGGAGGGAGAGAGATTTCTGAACCTGTTTGGAGGTTTTCTTTGGCCCCTGCTTCCTGACTCTGTTCTTCACCTTCGTCGGGTTCTACGACTTTGTGACGCAAGGGAAGGACCTCAAGTTTCTCAACTTCAAGAAGTTGTTCATGGAGCAAGTCCTCCCCACCCATCGCAACGGAATGATGTTCTGGTTACCTGTGAGTTGCCTTCTCTTCTCATTTCTGCTTCCTTTCCCTCCTCCCCCTGCCCTCTGCTCCTCCCTGCAGCCTCTCGCCTCCCTCCTCTCTGATCTGCATCGTCCTCCTCTCTTCTTCGAATTTCCTCTCTGCCCCTCTCTCCCTCCCGTCTGTCCTCCTAACGTGTTCACCTTCAGATTCACTTAGCAAACTTCACCATCGTGCCTCTCGGGCTGCGAGTGGTCGTCATCAACCTTGCTGGTTTGATTTTCAACGTGATGTAAGTGACCGTCTCACCCCTCCCTCGTTTTCTCGTCCTCCTCACCCTCCTCCTCCCTCACCCTCCTTCCCAACGCCCTCTATCTTCTTTCCTGTTCCTCCCCTCTCCCCTCCCGTCTCTTATCTCATTCCCACAGGCTTGCCCTCCGTCTGTCCGTAGACCATCCGTCTCCTCCTCACCGACCCGCCGACGACTTGCATGCCCAGCTGGACTCGAGCCACGAGGCAAGGAAGGAGCTGAAGGAAAGCATCGAGCAGGAGGTCAGCAAGGGACGTCTCGTTCCCTCCTTCAGCGGGGAGCGTCTACTGCGATCCATCCGTAGCATTGAGAGTCTGCCTGTCCCCCCTTACGGCGGGAGGCTGAGGAGGAAGCAGACGTTTATGTCATCGGATATGGCGGCGAAACTCCCCTCAACCTTCAGCTCGCCGATCGGGCTGAGGACAGGGTTCCGATGCTTGTGAGGACGAGAGGGTTGCATTATTCTTTGAGTGAGATGCTCATGTACATAGGTTGTAAATAACCCTGTAGTTACTTCTTGTCTGGTTTCTTTCGAACGATTTTACACCTTGACATTATGAAACATATGAAGATATACATGTGAAGATCCTCCTCCTCCTCCTCCTCTATTTTTATTCCTGGTATTTTCGTTTCTTGGTCAGGC